AGCACTTGTAGCCACTTCATTTAAAAGGAAGTTTAAGGATTCTCGGACAATATACACACCAAGTGACATTATGAGAGATGTGAAACACAACTTTGGTTTCACCATCCATTATTCAAAAGCTTGGAAAGCAAGGGAGTTAGCTCTATTGTCCATTAGAGGATCAACGGAGGAGGCATATTATATCATTCCAGCTTATTGCTATGAATTGGAGAGTATGAATCCTGGCACAAAAACACACATCCAAACTAGGGGTGGGCACGGTATGGTATGGTACGGTATTGAACCCGTATCGCTACCGATACCGGAAATTTAAATCGGTATGGTACGGTATGGGATTATGGTTTGCCAAAATTGGTACCGTGCCAAATCGGTATCGGTACGGTATCGGTACCATTTCGGTACCAAAATGATACAACTAAAAAATGAACCAATTCAATATTCAACACCAAAATAAATGATGCCTAAGTTACAAATTCAAAGATTCAACATATTCAATTTCAATATCCAAATCCTAATCAACATATTCAATATCCATCAACATATTCAATATCCAAATCCCAATCAACATATTAAATATCCATCAACATATTCAATATCCAAATCCCAATCAACATATTAAATATCCATCAACATATTCAATATCCAAATCAACCAAATCAATATTTATCCATCAAGAGATTCATCAAATTCAAATGGTTAAAACTCATGCCTTATGGCTTACAAACCAAAATAGTTAAAATTATGCATTATGGCTTACAAAAATACAAACAAAATCCAAACATAAATAACAAAAACATAAAGTTATGCAATCCAAGCTTCATTTGCAGCCCCTAGCTTTGAATTCAAGTATCCCCATCATTTGCATATTCTGCAAATTACCCAAACAACCATTAGAAAGAATTCAATGCAAACTAATATAAATAACAAACAATATTTAAAATAATTTACCTGATTCAATGGTTTCATAAAATTCAAATTCTTCAATCGAAGGTGTATCTTCTAAGCTTGAAATTTCATCCCATTTCAACCAATTTTGCATGCATATCAAAGCCTCCACTGATCTAGGAGTTAATGAACTCCTAAATGCATCTATGACTCTGCCACCAGTGCTAAAACAACTCTCAGATGCCACTGTGGAAGGTTGAATTGAAAGGACATCCTTCGCAATTGCTGCTAAGGCAGGATACTTGGGTCCATTGAGTTTCCACCACATCAATATGTCAAAAAAAACATCTTTGGAAACAAATGCCAAAGGATCTGTCAAGTAAGAATCAACTTCATGTGACACCACAGTCTCATCACTCTCTTCCACCTCCCTAATCCAATCATCTAAAAAATCATCACCAACACTTTCTCCAATATTATTACTACCACTTGCAGATCCTATATTTTCTGTGGTAGAATTTTGTCTCATGTGAATGCCACCATCTACCTTTGGTACATACTCATCATAAAGAGCCATTAACACACTTTTCACTTCTCTTGTCTTTATTTGCACATCATCCTTATCAAATTTTTCCTTTTTAAAGCGATGGGTGATATGCCTCAACTTGAATCTTGGATCCAAAATAAGTGCAATCAACACCAACATGTTCAAATCCTGATATTTGACAAAATACTTATTGTATTTTGTTCTCACAATTTCAGCCATGTCAGTCAACACTTTCTTTGCATCTAAACCAGTGGCAAATTTAGGTGCCACAAACAACTTGTCAATCTTCTTTTTCATGACAATAACTGCGTGAAATGTTTTATGAATTGTGGGGTGCAAAGATGCACTCACCTTTAAGGTCACCTCATAAAACACCTTCAAAAACCTCACAAACACTGTTGCATTGTCCCAATCTACATCGGTTGGTGGTCCAACCCGACACTGCCTACTATTAGTCTGAACTACACCATCCTCATCAACTACCTCATCTGCCTCTTTGAAATAAGCCATGAATGGGCTGTTCAAATCCTCTGCCATTCTAGTAAAAGCCTTCTTAAATTTCAAGGCTGCATCCAACATCATGTATGTTGAATTCCATCTTGTGGGGACATCCATGCATACAAGACCTTTGCAGGTCAGTTTTTCCTTCTCAATAGAGGTTTTAAAATAATCCAATCTCTGTGGAGATGACCGAACATACCTCACAGCATTCCTAATTGCCATAACAGATTTTTGCAGCTTCCTCAACCCACTAGACACAATTAAATTAGTGATGTGAGCACAACATCTCATATGTAAGTATTTCCCACCCAAAACAGCCTGTGAATTGTTCCATTTGTTCATTTTATATCTCACCCAATCAATTGCCACTTTATTTGCAGAGGCATTGTCCACAGTAATGGTTAAAACCTTCTCTATACCCCACTGTAATAAACAACTCTCAATGAGGTCTCCTATGGTGTTGCCTTGGTGATTAGGAATAACACAAAAGTTTAAAACCCTTTTGTGCATTTTCCAATCACAATCTATGAAGTGTGCAGTAAGCACCATGTAATTGGTGTTTTGGACACTTGTCCAAGTGTCAGTCGTGAGGTTGATCCTATGTGCACTTAAATCATTCTTCAGCTGCTGTTTTTGTGCATCATACATTTTAAGAAATTGCCTCACTGTTTTTCTCCTACTAGGCACTTCAAACATTGGACAAGCAACACTACAAAACCTCCTAAAACCTTTCTTTTCTACAAAAGAAAATGGTAGCTCATCAATTACAATCATTTCAACACATGCATCCATAACATCACTTTGCAAAAACCCCCTAGCAACCATTTTGTTACTCTGACTTCTATCACCAGTGATTATCTTTTGTGTTTTATCTTGGTTAGGTGGGTAGTATTTGCAATATTTTCTAATATGGCTTATCATTCCCGAAGTCCCATTTTTTCCACTATCACATGCATAATCTCCAAGACCAAGTTTAGATTTAGGACAATATCTGCATTTAGCTCTTTTATTCACAACTTCTACATCTACCATCTTCCCTGTGGCCTCATCTTTTCTTTTGACAGTTTTTTTTATCATCATAGGGTGTAAAATGATCCCAAACCCAACTTCTCTTATTACCTCTACCTTTGCCATCTGAGTTCAGTTCACTAACCATTTCTGTATCTTCACTCTCAAGGGCTTGCATTGGCTCAGGCACATGAGCTTCAGAAGGTT